CACACACACACACACACACACACACACACATGCGCGCGCCCACACACACACACACCCACACACTTACACACACAGACACATGCACACGCACACACCCCACACACCCATACATAAACACACTCACTCACCTAACACAGTGAGTGTAGCACTAGAGCGGAGCGGGTTGTCCCCATCTTTCGGCAACACCTGACATTCAAAAGGGCACTACCCCTCTCCCTCCCTCTCTCTCTCTCTCTCACTCTCTCTCTCTCTCTCTCTCCCTCTCTCACTCCCTCTCTCACTCCTTCTCCCCCTCTCTCACTCACTCACCTAGCACAGTGAGTGTAGCACTAGCCCGGAGTGGATCATCCCCGTCCTTCGGCAGCACCTGACACTCAAAAGTGGCGTCGTCCACCAGGTCAGCATTGACGATCATCAGGTTGAACTCGTCGTCATTGGTGGAGGAGATGGAGTACCGGCTGAACCCGGGGATGGTGCGGTTGAAACCTGGGGCGGAACAGAAAGGATGATTATAACAGGGATGATTTTTTATCTGTGATGTCGGCAATGATAATGCTGGGTTTTTTTGTTCCTTTAACCTGCAGTACAACTGATTTTTACGCATGCGACTTTTTCCTTCATCATAGTGTAGTGAAATTCATAGTGCCTTGCATTTTGATTATGTTATATAACGTTCCTGAAGAAGCCCCTTAGAGTGTACATATTTCATTATGTCATAAAACGTCAAATGCTCAAGTCTCCATGAACTTTTTGTGTTTTTTTATCATACTAACACCTATGATTATGATGATAATTCAGTAATAAGATTAAGAAATACTTTGTTAAATATATAACCCAAGTTTCCACAAATCATTTGCCTACATTACAACAATTACCATGATGATGATGACGACGGTGAGGAGGGGGAGGATGATGAAGACAATGACGACAACATTATCTTTATTGTTCGATAATGAAATTCCTTTATAAAAGCTACCATTACGGCACAATTTGACCGAATTCATGTACGGCGTGCATGCAGATTTGAATGTCGAAATGTACAGTACAAATTTGAAAAAGCTGATACTAATAAATCTAAAAGATATCGACCTTCCTCACGACTGTCAGATTTCAGAACCTCTCAACACAGCAACCAAGATACAGCAGCCAGGACTTAAGGTCTTTATGGAAGAAAAAAGCTGTGCTGTGAACAGTAAGTTTTGTGTTTTGTGTTAAATAACACTGTGCTCAGGTCAAAGATTTCTATTCACATCAAATCAAAAATAACAAGGGAGGGGTTTATTGTAGTAAGCACTAAGCACCGAAGGCACCATTAATCAACCCAACCCAACCCGACTCGACTCGATTTGATCCGCAACGGGCAGCCGGTGTAAACAAGATAAGAGTGTGCTGGTTGCATCACTCACCCAGGGGGAAGCCATCCTTGGTCCACTGCACCGCCCCCTTGCGGTCACCAATGACACATTTGAGCACCGCCGTCTGGCCGCGGATCACATTGGTGTTCTTGGGGATTTCCGTGAAGTGTTGGATGGAGTCAACTGAGGAGAGATGATACAGATGAAGACAATAATGATGATGATGATTTGATGATTATGGTGATGGTGATGATGATCTCAAAATGTACATTATATACCTTTTTGTTTGAAAAGTTTGCCCTACCAAATTATGTTACCAGATCACTACCATTATCCTCAAAACGAGATTCTACATCAGACACGGGCAAACTACCACCTGCAGGCCTGACCAGCCTGCAAGCAACTTCAGACCGTCCCATGAGTCAACTCAGTTAATTGTACTTATAATGAGGGTGGCCCAGGGTGAGTTGATAATTACAACAAAACAAACTGTCTGTCTTGAAAATAAAATTACTAGAACAATATCAAATATTACTTTAATGTAGTGACCTTTAGTGACAATTGCTACAGAGTGCGTTTTAGTCTCACTTTTAGGAGCTTGAGTATTTCAAACGATTTCACCCAATTTTCTCCTGCTTTGGCCTGCGAGATATTCAGAAGCCATTAATCTAGCCCCTGACTTAGCCGTGCATGCCCAAGCCTGCTCTATAATAACAAACGAATCAGCACAGAGAAAGTCCCGTACACTTTGTTGTCGCCAACATTTCAACTGCCCTGACCCCCAGTGAAACCTCTTATTTAGTCACAGTTTTACGTAACTTGCAACAAAAAATAGGTTACGTAAGTGCCACAGGTTAGAGTTGGTATTCGAGAGTAAAATACAATTGTGTACAAGCAAAATAAGGGGAAAGATAGGGACAATAGATCATAGATGTTAGATGGGAAAGAAGAAGCAAACGATATAAGAGCACCCACCAACCACCCATGATGGGAGACCTATATTAACGTAGCATGAGGATACGTCGTCAAAACCCCAACAAATAACAACATAATAATATGTGTCTGTCTTTTTAATCCCCAAAAGGGTGCGAACCAGAGAGTTTACAGTAACTGTAAACCCTCTCTGGTGCGAACGCTTACCTGCAATAAATAAGGCCGGTAACAACGAGAGCGCGTGCAGCAGGGTCCTCATTTTCTTGGGTTATTTCCCTTGGACAACCGCCTCGCAGACTTCTGTTATCCACGCTTGTCTACGGTCCGTGTCGCCTCAAGGGATGGGGAGAGTAAGTAAGTGGGGGAGGGGGGTTGTTGACCTCGGGGAGGTAGGGGCTCGGTCTGTTATGTCTCCTCCCTGAACACGAGAGGTTTCACGTCTACACAACATCCACACTGCCCATGTGCGAACAGATGTTTCCTTCTCCTCCCTCTGTCCCGTCTTCCTTCCTCCTCTGTCGCTCTGTCTCTCCGTCTCTCTCTCCTCCTCTTCTCTCGTTATCTCTCTCTCTCTCTCTCTCTCTCTCTCTCTCTCTCTCTCTCTCTCTCTCTCCCTCTCTCTCTCTCTCTCTCTCCGTCTGTCTCTCCCAGGACGTGGCGTCGTGTCCTACTCTGTGCACACTTCCGGGCTCATCTGTAATGACAAGAGAGAAAAAGATTTCGTTCAACAATTTGTCTATCGATCAGTAACCATTAACCAATCAATCAAACAACCGATCAATCGTGCCGGAAAGCAATAATTACAACATCAGCAAACAAACAAATAACCCTCCCC